ATATATATATATATATATATATATATATATATATATATATATATATATATATATATAACTCTAAATATCATATTACAGTAATAAAATTAATAAGACATTTTGTCATTTTCACAGATATTATAATCTGAATGCCAAAAACATTTTGGCTATACACTGATAAATATACTTTAAGTATATATTATGTCACCATATTGAGAACTTTAAAAAAAATACGTAACATGCAAATGTTGAATTTTCTAATAAAAAGAGTAATAAATGAATAATATTACAATAAAAAAATATATGAGTTACATATACATTTCTTCTATAAAGTTTAAACACTTTAAATGAGGAATGTCAACAACATATCACAGAATTCCTCACTTAATATTTGGTGGTAAATGGACATTTTATGTCAGTCATTTTATAGCCAAATTTTATTTATTATTAGCATCGAACCTCTGGATTATTTCTATCATACGATCGTATATAAGAGTCTTTGTGTCGATTCCCCACAAATAATCCGCGTGATTAAAAAGTTCATATGGCACCTCCTCTGTTAAGATAACATTTGGCAAGTGTTTCATTAGTTCTAGTACATTCTGCAAAAAAAAACATAGATTAAGTTTCTTCTTCTAAAGTAAATAGTTTCTGATGTCTGTTGATCATTTCATGTCATAACTCGAATGATTAACTTTCATCGCGTCTGGCATCGGTAAAAATTACATCTTTTTGTCATATTGACATTTTTTTCATTCATTTTCTCTTCTCGCACAAAACAAACGATCAATTTTCAAATAAAAGAAATATATTCCTACCGTTTTTCTAACGATCTTATCGTTGATTGAATAAAATAAAACAATCGGCGCGATAACTTTCTTAAGATCATAACTTATAGGTGTTTTCTGCTTATAGTGCTCATAATTACCAACGGGTCCATAGTCGTAGGTTTGAAAATTGTCTGTAACATCGCATGAATCAATATCATATTTGCAAAAGCGCATATTTAAAATGAAAAATATCAAGATTTAACATTTAGAATTTTATTGTAATATTGTACACTTGAAAAATCACTACTATTTTTCACTATTATATATCACTACTATAAAAAAGAAAAGAATACTTACCTACATACATATTTTGGTAATAATGGTAAAGTGTTTGCACGGAAGTACCGGCTGGAAAATGGGATAAGAGATATGGCAGTGCTGTCTATAACAGAAATAATTTATGCAAAGTAATAAAATGTTCAAAATATAGTTAGGTCGAAAACTAGGATCAACATAAATGAATCTTTTATACCAAACATTAATGACTTCTTTTATTATATTGTTATAAAAAGAAACAGAACGATATAAAGAAACATTAAAAAATCTTGGAAAAGTAATGAAAAGAAATACGAAATAATATCACATTTAAGTGAATGAAATCTAACTTACAACGTTAAGTTGTGGCGGATCAGCACCCACGATAAAAAAATATATCGCAACACATAAAGACTGAGTAATTGCCTTATCGTGACATAATGTGCTGCTTAATGTAATGGATCCTACAGATTGCGAAAAAATATCATATATGTTGTGTCTAGCGAGATGCTCCTGAAATTGGTGAACATACAGATATTTATTCAATGCATTAATTAAAAAAAAACACGACAATTTAATCATATATTTTACGCGTCTCTTTAGTTGTATATCTTTAAAAATGATGTACTTAATATACTAGAAATAATTAATCGCAAAAATTGATTATGGTGTCTACCTTCACTACTGGTAACGTATCAGAAATTTGCCTAAATGTAGGCGACACTTCTTTCCAGAAGGCAACTGGGGCAAGACAAGTAGCCAGCTTTATCTTCGCGTTGTATTCGGGTTTCATCGATAGAAGAACGAACAACATAGACGTTCCCATCGAGTAACCGACGTAGTGCATATTTTCTTGCCCGGTGTGATTAAGTATGTAATCGAATATAACTGGCAAATCCAACATTGCTGATTCATGAAAGCTGAAATACAGAAATTCTGATAAATAAAACATCGAAAATCTTATTATTTAATAAAAGAAAAAATTGATTATTTATAGTGAAAAATTTTATTATTTAATAATAATAAAAAATATTAATATATAGATAATAATAATTAAAAGAGATCTTATTATTTAATAAAATTGCTTAGTGAGAATTTTCTTTCGATATTATGTTTAATGTAACATTTTACCTAAATTCCCAGAACTGATGGTCATAAACAGTCATGTTTATATGCGATCTGCCATAGCTATTTCCTCTCACATTCCCAAGCCATACATCATAGCCTTCATCGGCTAATAAAAATGCTGCAGCATAAAATAACAATAAGCCAGCGCGGACATATAGTATCAGTATCGCCGCAAATTTTTAAAACTGTAACATTCGATATCGCAGACACTACGTTCCAGATGAAAAGTCTTAATTTAAAAGCTGCTTAAAATCTTGATAAAATCTGATACATAATTTATGAACAATTTTCGTAATTCAAAAGTCGATAATATGTTGACATTTCGCTAAGAAAGCATTATTTTATTAGGCGAGCTTTACGCCAGATTGCGGGTTGATATGGACGCTTCAGCGTATATTATAAGGCCCGATCTACAATAAATAGAGTAAGGAGTAAGAGTAAGATGAAATGGAAATAATTTATTTCGCTTACTCCCTTACTTCAATAAAAGTTTGCCCATCTACATCATATGGAGTAAGCCTGAATTAAGTAATAAGAGCTGGAGTAAGAAGGTGGAGTAAAGGAGTAAGTGAAATAAATTATTTCCATTTCATCTTATTCCTACTCCTACTCCTTACTCCATCTATTGTAGATCGGGCTTAAGAGTCTCATATAGGACAGAGAATTCAAAAAGAATTCAGTCGTATGTCACTAATTTTGAGTTCATTTAGAGATACAAAAATAATTCTTCTCACAGAACTGAACTCTAAAGAATTTTTTTTGTATCTGAAAATGAACTCAGAATTGGTGACATACGACTGAATTCTTTCTGAATTACTTTTGAATTCTCTGTGTTATTTGGGATGTTACGTTTTATCGTTATACGTACGGAGATCTTTATCAGGACCAAACACTACCCAGGAGTCAGACGAAGAAAGAATACCATGTTGAATAAACACAACATTCTTCTTCTTCCTTTTATTTCTCGATAGTGGACTTTCTGGTATCCGATGTATTTTCAAATTGTAACCATCTTCCGTTGTAACGTTATGCTCTTCAGCTGGATAACCGTATTGCTCCACCATACCGATCTGTTAGAAGAAAAAACTTATGTAAACATGCGATAGGATATTGTAATTTGAATCCTATTTTTGTTCCAAATTGTCGGAAGGTACTTATAGGACCTTCAAGGAACGCCGTATCGAATAATGATTGTAAAAACACAATTGTGGCTCGGCGAGGCTCAAGATGATAGACAGTAATCAGTTTTTTTAGTACGTGTGATAAATATACATGTGTATAATATGCTTTTTATATATTTTTTTTTCTTGTTTAACTGTGCATTTCATCTATATTGTTATTATATAACGGACCCGTTTAAAAGAATAAAGATTTCCTACGTAGAGCAACAGATATAAAGAGAGTCTGATATCGAGAGACAGCCTAGATAGACATATTTCGGTATATCTATTTTAGTGATCGATACAATTGCGCAAAGATATATCTTCATATAACAAGAATTTTCTCAGTATTTTCTCAATAAAAACATTCATCTGATGCTATGAAAATTATGATATTTTATACGATATTTTAATCAAAGTATTTAGATATTTCTATGAAAGTCGCTGTTTATTTTGCCAGAAAGAAAACGTAATTAATCCAGAATTATTGTACAAAAAGTGAATATTTTGATTATTATAGCATATTAACTTATTATAGTATTATTTTGAAAATTATGGCGTAATAACTGAATATTTCTTAAAACAAGCATATTTCAAACACATATTGCACAATTACAATAGTATCATAAACTACATTAAACGTTTGCACAATATGTTCAGCACCTGTCTATCTGAGAGAGTTGACAACGGTCCCAACAAAAAATTAAAGTGCCAGACACGCACATGCATAATTTGCACTTAAGAATGTTTCGTCGCAAAGATTACGTGTCTAAATTCTATTTCTGCCATTTGTTCCAGCTTAGAAATCGTCCTGTACTGTATTGCCGTTTTACGTGTCTATAGTGACACAAACAAATTCGATTTATATTGCAATTCTAGACAAAGTCGTAAAACTCATAACTTGTTCTCGTAAGACTCTATAAGAATTTATAAAGAGATCTGCAATTCTGTGCGAATCGTATATCATACGATAACTACGTAAATATCTACGATTTTTTTTTTATTTTTTCATAAGCTATGAAATTTTACGATTTTACGATTTTACGATTTACTCATATATTTCCTTAGAATTACAGCATTAGTCAGAAGAAAGTATATTTTTAACTGTAAATTTTGCTTATCTTAAAAACTTATTTTAAATTCATTGTACTTACAAAATCCAATACTTTAGTGCCTCCTATATTTCTGGCTTCTTCCATATTTCTTACTCTCACTATACCGAGATCCTTAGGGAAGAGATAATCCAAGAATGCTTGCTGTAGGAAAGTCAGGTCTATTCCCCACTGCGATTCTCCTTCCTTGAGTATCGTAATAATTACAAATGCAAAAAAAATGTATCGCATGAACAGTGCCATATCGACTAATCTACGATTTCAACCGCAAAAATGATTTCGAGTGCTAACGATGTTAATTGAAACGCCCTTGATGCGTTACCGTCCTTGTTTGCATTTCTCTGGTCTGAAATAAAAGAACAACAACCAAGAAAATATGTGAAGTAAAACTTTCTAAGGTATTATTTAACAATATCGTGCAACCATTGCGAAATGCATAGCAAATATGCAAATACCGATAAGCACTTCGTGACGTGTAACACACGTAACTATACGTGCACCTTTGAAATGATAAAGTGTTCCTTGACGTTGTAACGCATATTTTAGTATTGCTCGCAGTGGAGCTTCGTTGAACTACTTAAGGAATATTCATTTAAGCTTTACTTTAACATAATTCTCTTTCTATATCTGTACTATGCTCTAATTTATAAAATAGTAAGAAATGTTAGTACACGTAGCTTCTTCACTAGTCTGTTTTATAAAAATATATCAACGTACTATGTTATTAGACATTCGAAGTTTCAGAGAACGCGGTAATATCTTGTTTAATTTTCCATTTATGTGCACTGCTTATTAGATTCTTTTATATAAGAAATATCGATGTCGATTAAATAACAAAATATATATGTTATTGAACCTCGAGAAAAAAATGATTATATATAATTATTTTATATTAATTTATATATAATTATCTTATTATATATATCTTATTATCTTATCTTACTATCTTTATTATTATATATATATATATATATATATATATATATATATATATATATATCTTATATCTTATTATATATAATTATATATGTTTATATAATATTATACATAAATTATATGTCAATTTTGTCTCTATATAGTCATATATATATATAATCATATATATCCACACAAAAATAAATAATGTTAAATGAAAAAAGGAAGAAATAGTTTCATTTAATTAAACGTCGACATTATGTGCTGTCAGAAACATATTTACTTCGATTATATTTGTATAACAGCATTTTTTCGTTGTTGACATATATAATTACGCATGATGATATATAAGGCCATATAAAGACAAAATTTATGTATGAGAGATCTTCTTTTCCCGAAACATTATATTTTTTAGAAAAGTTATATATTATTATGTTTTTCATGTTTCTTATAAAATAAGAAGCTGCTTTCATGTCTTGTTTTAATCAAATGTATAAATTTTAAAGGAAAATTAAGGGAATATTAAGAGAACGGGCTTCTCACTTTTCATATTTCAAACATATTTTCATATATCAAACAGTATAACGTATTTGATGTGTTTATCATTGCAATTGTCATTGAAAGCCACTTAAAACCTAAAAACCTTGTACGATATAACATTAACAAATTAAAGTAGCCATATCTTCAAGATAATTTGCACAATCATGTTTGTTAGGATTTATTTTTTGATCCTAAACTATAAAAAACAGTCCTTAACTATAAAATACAGTTAAGTTTTGCGTAAATTTCTAGACATCTGACCTTTATAATATATGTTCTAAATAAGTGTTTTATTAAAAGTTCTAAAAGAAAAGTCCTATATTTTACAATTGTTTCCGTAAAAATATATTCCGATATATACTTACCAATATAGTTATCTTCAATTATACGCCAAGTATTCAAGTTCAGAAAAGAAAAGGAAATTAAAGGGGTGCGTCTTCGATCGTCTTTGACAATCGATTTAGTAGTACTTCCTGTCTCCCTGTGTCTCCCACGTCTATCTTTTAAAAAAATGATTCACTATCCGACGTAAGAGTTTATATGAAACTACAAAGAAACATCAGCTCAGCTCCTTCAAATATATACTGACCGATGCAGTGACGGATCTTGTACTTTCAGGCCTCTATCTAAATCATTTCTCACTTATTCTTCCTTATCCAATATCCCTGGTAAAAAAAAGTTTATATAGAACGATAAAATAAAATAATTATTTTCTATCGTTTTGAATATGGATTTTGGTTCGTGAATTTACAAATGTAAATAGTATACAATAGAATCTAATCTATCGTATACAATAGAATACAATAGATAGTGATAAAATTATCGTTAGTTTTCTATAGAATTCAAAATTGTGTATAACCAGATAAAATACGATAAAATAAGATAGGATTTATATCTGAACTTGCGAGCGCTATCAATTTGAATCGTTTTCTTTAAGCTGTATCGTTCTCGTTCTCAGATATTCTATTGTATTTTATTTGGTCATACACGATTTTGTATTCTATAGGAAACTAATGATAGAAATTCTATCACTATCTATTATATTCTATTGTATACAATAAAATACTATTCACATTTATGAACTCACGAATCAAGATTCATATTCAAAACGATAGAAAACGATAGAACGATAGAATTTTATTTTATCTATAAACTTTTTTTACCAGAGATAAAATAACATAAATTTAAGGTTTTTTAAAGATCAATTTTTATATTAACGTGTTATATATCATGCAAATTATAATGGAAGAAATTTTATAAATTTACAAGAAATCCAGATAGCACAATACGTCTTGAAATTATCTTGAATGCACTTAAGAGTTTTGGACATATCTGGGATGATTCTAAGACGTCTTGTGCTATTTAAGAAACTTTTAATCAAGAATTTCGGTAAATGTCATAATAAAAATATTATGCATTGCAAAGTTGAGTTTTTATCATATTTCTATCGGATTGATAAGTTTTGTTATCTCTTTGATTTTACTAAAGAATCACATGAAATTTTGTGTTCCTTTTAGGTTCATCTCTTGCAATATAGGGTTCTATAATGAATAGTTCCGCTATTGCGTTCTATAAAATGACGAAAAGACAACAGTGATTTTAATCGTCAAGGACAAGTGCAGTTTCTTGATGATCGAACTCTTGTCGCTTTTATCCTTCAGCAACTTCTACTTTTCCGCCTAAGAGAGGTCAACAGCTTTGTGGCTAAATGTAAAGAATGTAAACTCCACTGCTATTTAACAGAGAATAACTAATTCCTCAAGTGTTGACGTATTATGAGTGAAAAAACAAGCTGTCTACGAGCTTTATAAATACATAAAATAACTGTGCACTTAAGGAGACATAGATAATTTTTTACTGTTATAAGTTCAAACAGATTCAGTATTTAAGTTATTCTCAAGGTTACCAAATTAAATTTAGATTAAAATTATGTACTGATGATTTAGATCAAAATTTGCTACAAATTTAATTTATTAATTCGTGTTAATGTAATTTACCACAATTTCCGCCGTCACTGTATTCGTCATCCGAAATTCCAAAATTTAAGCCAGGGATTTAAGTTGAGGAATTGAAGAAATATCCTGACAATAATTTTAGAGATTTTATCGATATTTAGTGTTGTTAATTAGGTTAAAAAATTGAAGAAACATCCTGAAAATAATTTCAGAGATTACATTGATATTTAGTGTTGTTAATTAATAAGTTAGAAAATTTGGAACTTCACTATAACAGTGTTTTATATTTATCAATCAACATTTTTTACTCTAGTATATTTTAAGAATCAGAAATGAACGATATTTTTCTATCAGTACATAAAGTACTGAAAAAACTAAAGTACTAAATAACTAAAGTTTAAAAAATCTCATAGCTTTGTATACATAATCAGAAATTTGAAGATTCATCATTCATATTAATCATTAATATTAAAACATCCAACTAACATGACTTTTTTTACTTCATACGCTAGAGTTTCTTCCGTATCAAGATAGAGGAATATTCATGTATGCCCTTGGATTGTGACTATTTCATGTAACTTATTCTACGTTACGTGTCTTTGCGATTTCCTGAATGCCAAAATGATTTTTACTTATAACTCCTCGATATTCCTCTCTAAATTCACCACTGCCTATAAATTTATCCCTTATTTACTTCCTGTGTATCAACTATGCAAATATATAGTTTATGTCCTGAATATATTTAGATATAAATTGCTAATTAAGGTCTCCCTCTCTTTGCGAAGTAGCGTGAATGATGATGATGATGGTAAAGTTTACTTCAAAACGCGATTCACACTTCGTTCATATGAATCATTTTGCTGGAACAAATAACTATGTTTTCATTGCATTTTTTCCGTTATTACATTTGTCAAAGTTCCTGTTCAAAAGTCATCTTACCGTCATTACATCGGTGATTCAATAAAAAACGATAGTCGTGTAAGAAAATTCTCTGACATAAGAGAGTATGTTCAATTCTAGAGGGGATATTCACACAGAATATATAATGCGTTAAGGCCGATTTATGGTGACTGTAACCGTTAACTTATGCTGTAATCCATAAAAAATATACCAATCACAGTTAACTATTCTTGTAATAATCGACTGTAATTCAATTTCTTATGGATTACAGCATAAGTTAACGTCTACGGCCATCATAAATCGATCTTTAGTTGAGATTAATATCCTCAAAACAAAACAAAGAATTAATAATTTAATAAAATAAAACGTGATTCATTTCATGCGCGCGCTTCCGATGTGTGCGGGATACAAAATTGTTCATTTGAATTTTATCTCTGATAATCGCAAAAAATTTTACGAGTGGGGCTTGATTCTTATCAAATTACTATCTGCACATCTATAAATGGCTTACGTTTATCGCTTTCCGCATGTGTGTATATATTTATTGCGAGAAATATTTATTTATTTATCTTATCGACGTTTCATTCTATTTATAGGAAGTCAAGTAATGGCGCTAATTTCAATCACATTTCCGCACGGCGGCGTCGACGTCGCCGATGGGTGTAGCGAGGTCACTTGGCGCTCTCTCGTGCTAATCATGTGACCCGCGGCTCGTCACCACGTGACCTGCGCTCGCGCACTCGTGACCGCTCGAATCGATTGTTGTTCGGCTGTCGCGACTACCACGGTCGCAGTTCCAGACAGTGGCGGTTCTAAGAGGACGTTTGGGTGATTGAGTGTCACGACGCCTTACGACCTTTGGACCAGCTCGGGTATTCCTCGAGTAACCGGTTTCAACGTATCGTCGAAGCGCTATACCCAGCTACAAGGATGGGTTCGCTCTTCCGCAGCGAGGAGATGACCTTGTGTCAGTTGTTCCTCCAAAGTGAAGCCGCTTACGCCTGCGTCTCCGAGCTCGGCGAGCTCGGTCTCGTGCAGTTTCGCGATGTAAGTCCTGCGGTTTTTGCTTGTCCCGTCTTATTTTGGCCTATGCTCTTGTCATTCTCGCTCGGCATCGGTGTCGACGTTAAAATTGTCAGTGATCCTTGTGTGTGTGTGTGCGCAATGACACATTAGCCTGCTGCTGTTCCAGTAAAGAATTCCAAAAAAACATAATTAATGCGGCACGAATAGACTTCGTACCTTGTTACGATGGCATTGTTATGTATTTGTGCTATTGTGTCAATGGCTCTGTCATTCTAATGCTAATACGCTCGATACGTTGCAGCTGAATCCCGATGTTAACGCTTTTCAACGTAAATTCGTTAATGAGGTGCGCCGATGCGACGAGATGGAGCGCAAGTTGCGCTACCTCGAGAAGGAGATCAAGAAGGATGGGATCCCGATGTTGGACACCGGCGAGAATCCGGAAGCACCGCAGCCCCGAGAGATGATCGACTTAGAGGCGACCTTTGAGAAATTAGAGAACGAGCTTCGGGAAGTGAATCAGAATGCCGAGGCTCTCAAACGTAACTTCCTGGAGCTAACCGAATTGAAGCATATCTTGCGAAAAACTCAAGTCTTTTTCGATGAGGTGAGTCATATTCCACAGCTGCAGATCTTTATCTTTCCATTGAATACTTTAGCATAAGAACCAGATGAGTCTTTCTCAAACAAATCATCAGGGACTGTTCCCTTTTATTTTCTTTTTTTTTTATATTTATTTTATCTGAAAGAGGGGATAATAAGAAGTGCTGTTTGTTAAAGTGTTGAAAGAATTGCAGGATTGGTTGGGTCTTTTCCTAAATCTGTTGAATGCTCTGTACAATTTAAATGTGGATTTCGTGAAGGGAAACCTTAATGATCTATAGAATGGCCTGTAAATATTGGCAATCTGGCAATCGGTTACCTTGAATGTCAAGTTGATGAACATATAAGAATAATTTTCTACCAATTGGATATTCTGCTATAAAGTGCATTTATTTGGCTTACGATACCTCTATCATGGAGCAAAAAGCATTCTGCTGTGTTCGCTGTGATTAGATTTATGTACAAATGAATCTGTATGAGACACCGTACTGTGAAATTTCATGTTGCAACTTACAGCCTCGCATTTGTTTGGCCTACATTTCCATAAATCGATTAACTTGTAAATTGAGCGATTTTTCTACCATAAAATAGCAATTAGATGTTGTAATATATGCTTCAGTGTGAGAAAGTTTATCACCTCAATGGGATTTTGCTCGCTTTAACGGATATTTTCAAACTCTCAATGTATAGTGAAACATTAGTACGCTATCATCGCATCTCCTTAAAAGTATGGAGAAAGTTTCCCGAAGTCCCGTTGAGGTGACGATTCTGCAGTCTCTTATAGAGCAAGAAAATTGTGTTATTAATTAAATCGAAGAATAAGAATATTTAAGCTAAAAGGAAAGAAAGAGTAAAAGTAATGAGTTTGTGCTGCCGGATTTTCTCTGATGCATGAAAAGCTGGAGATTGTGCGAATTATACATATCCGGAGGTCCTGTATCTTCGCGCGCTTGTGCAAGTCTAAGCGAATGCAGCGGAGCTACTTAGAGGAGAACAAGATGAGATGAGACTGTCTGACAGGCTGACAATCCAGATTTCCATTCCGATGAGCTGTCAGGCATCGAATGTTCTCATTGTGTATTACTAATCATATTGTTGAGTGATTTTAGGATTATTAATGTGTTAGTGTTGCCAACTAACCAAAAGCCAGTATCGCAAAGGACACAAGTCACTCGCTACGCCCTATCTCCCTTTATGTCCCTTGATAATTATCCGATCCGGCCGTAATTTCCGTATAGGTTGACTGTTACGATTTCAAAGTGGTATCGTTAATCTTACTACACATTGTTTTTAGAAAAGTTTTTTGAGAGATCACAGTATGTATTATTATCAGTAATTGTCGTACCCCTTGCATCGACAATGTATCTCATTCCTGCACACAAGTTAGAAGTCGTTCCGGATTAGCCTTTAAATGTGTTCGATTTCTTATTGAGTCTGCTAGTATACCGATAAAATAACGAGATAGAGTTTTATTTCTTTCATTTCTTTTATGATTCAATATAATTTTTTTTTTTATTTTTAGAATTTAAATCTCGTTGTTTTATTGACAGACAAAAAATTAAGATAATTATCTGATTGTTAAGAGTACCTTGATGTGTAGAAAGAACATCTCTTGAAAAATAGTTATTTAATGTTTAATAGTCTAAATATTGTAGTGTATTATTTAATATACTTCTCAATATTCTATTGTTTAATTTTCCACTATCGTAAAAACTTGTGTTAATATTGGAGTTATTTATTTTTTTGGTTCTTATTTATTCCTTCCATTTTGTTCCATTATTAATCACATTTTACTTTTTCCTTTTTGTATAAATATATATAGAAATGTATCTCTCGTAATTTGAGAAATATGCATGTTTGGAAATATGAGTTGCAAATAATTTATTTAACAAGAGAGGTACATGCAAATAAAATATATAATTCAGTAATTTAATAGAAAATAATTTAGTGACATTTTTTTAGCGATAACCGTTTCATTGTATTGAGTTACTGAATTTTTCAGAATTTTTACGAGCAAGTAACAACTCTGAGTCCAATAGCAAATATCGGCGATGTTTCGTAATAACAGATGTAGCAAGAAATTAAGGCGCAATGTTATTATTGTTGGAAGTAATGTAACATTATTGTGAGATCATCATAAATTTCATATATACATTTCATCATATTATTAAAGCCATAGTAGAGTTTCATAAAGCTAATCAATCTGTACAATCATAAGATCATCATAAGATTATTAAAATCATAGTAGAGTTTCATAAAAGTAGTTGTACGCGCGACAGGAAGCATGGAGCCTTGCAATTAGTAACAGTGATCAATTAATGGCAATGTGCATGAATTGTACTAACATGCGCAATATTTTACGTAAATGTATTAAAAATTATTTAGAAAAGTATGCATCATACACTTTAATTCTTTGAAGGCCGTCGACTTTTTTATTTATATTTTATACAACACCTATTCATTCAACAATTCTCAAGATGTTTTAGATTCTAATTTCGTTATTTTTAACAATTCGTATAATTAATAATTTTTACACTAAAAAATACTGGGATTTGTATATATAATCTGCAAAATGCTGTAAATATAAATAATTTCTTGAAAAATAAATTATACCGTATTAGAAAATTTTTGGTTTTTCTTTTTAAATAAACTTAGAATATCTTTAATTTGAGTTTAATGTAGAATATTAAACTAAATATGAAAATTTTAAAAACAACATTTAGAAGAAATAATTATGGCCTTTATTGAATTAATGAATGGAAATTGTTTGCATGTAGCATGTGTAGCAAGACATGTACATCTATATGTAACATGACATGTTTTCCCTTTTCATGTATTAATTTATCGTAGTTATTAACTTGATATATATAGTTAGAGTAAAATTGCCATGTGTTAATAGCCAGTAGTAATATGTTAACTATTTTTTGTAGATTTAATAAGATCAGATTTGCGTGAATGTTATACTATTCGTGATGTTTACACACAAGTAAATGTTCAACTGTTTGAATTTTACGTTTCATCTTTAACGATTCGGTCTTTTTGAATCAATATTTGCATTAAAAAAACTTGATATATTAAAAATGTAAAGTTCCTTTTATTCTATCAACATTACCATTAAGCATCACGAATTAGGCTTATACGTAGCTCATACAATTGAAAAAATTACTTAGAAATTATTATCGCGAGTTCAAGAAGAAACAACTTCCTCCTCTTCGACAAATCGGTGAGTTGAAGAAAATTTTGAGACAGAAAGAAAAAAGAGAAAGAAAGTCTGGAATGGGCGAGTGGAACGGGAGATAGGGCGAAAGAGGGGTGACCTGTGTCTGTTGCCAGGCTGAGCATGGAGGTGTCGTGTCGCAGATGGCAGATCCCAGCCGTGAAGAAGAACAAGTCACTCTGCTGGGTGAGGAGGGCCTCCGCGCCGGCGGCCAGGCTCTCAAGCTCGGGTAATTAATGCGTGGCGTACGTCCAATTAATGCAGAGCGTGGCGACACCCAAAGATCTCTCGAAAGTAAAAAAATATTTTAATCAATTGAGGTTCCAAGGGACGTACAATTCAATTCGAATAGATAAATTAGAAGTTTACAAATGTATGTGTATCAATGTCTCTATCAATCTGTAACTTAAAACTCTCAATTTTGTTTGGAAAAATTTATTTGGAAAAATAGAGAATATTAATTAGACAATGTAATTAATTTTTTAACGTGGAAAGCCGTCAGATACTATATTTGTCAATAATAAATTTGTGATATAAAATATTTGTTAATGAATATGCGTGATTAAAAGGATATTATTCGTGGGACCTCATGTTTATGCAGATATAACATTTGTATACATACTGTACTTTTATGGTGTATCTATTTGAATTGATATGTCGTACGTTTATAATTCACTCTTCATAATGTCTTATCTCTTAAATTTTTTTCTTAGTCAGATATTTTCTTGTATTCTTTGATACCAATATCAAGAAACCTCAATACTGTTCGCAATAAGAGTTAACTATGATTTTATAATATTTAAGAATCTAAAAATTGTTTTTTCTACTTTTGGATCCTTGAAACATTCCTGAAACATTCTTGAAACATAACATTTTTACATATAACGTAGATTTTGTTATTGAATTAATATTTTTTACACTTTAATATACATTTGATAATCTCTCATTTTACAAAAATCTTCTTTGAATTTTTCTAAGATTCGAAAATGTTTTTGACCTTTGATCTGATTTAATTTGATTTCGGGTCTCCACGCTCTGCATTTCCATCTCTACGTGACCGAGAATCATTCCCAATATATTGTCGCATGTCCACAGTTTGTGTTGCAGATTTGCACCCGATGCACTGCTGCACTTCGCAATGGTGCTCGGTCACTAATATAGATTCTCGGATTACTGATGTGAATCCAGAGTATCTTTTAATAAATATTCTTTCTCTCTTACTATTTTTATATAACTTTTATATCATTATAAGCTATTATTTATCATTTACATACATATTCTTATTATCTCATACATTTTAATATTTTTAGACATATTTATAGTTTTCCATGCATTGTTCAGATAGAGAACATCGTACGTCAAAGAACTATTAAATAAAATTAATTCTTTTATTGATTGGTAATCCGAGAATTATGTATAATTCAGGAAATGTGCAGCCAAATAAACGAAACCATCCGACGAATATTCTTATATGTACTCTCGAACGTAATTTTGGAGTAGAATAAAGATATGCATGGAAACGAAAGGAAACCGGACATTTTTAACACGATTTTTATTACATTTGAAAAATATATTTCTTTTTATATAACTTTCTTGTATAATTGTTAAAACACACGGTGAACTATAAGATAAAATTAATTAATAAACTTTTAAAAAATAGAAATAAAATTTGTTTTTCCACATTTTTCCACATTCAAACAAAAATTTAAATTGCTGAAATATTGAATTTGGAAATTTTTAATTCCTTTATCTTTGAATGTTTCTAAAAATCAATATATTTATAGAAGGGACTTTTATTTATTTTAGATTCAGTGACTCTCTTATTTTTAACCAATTTGGATTCTTTGATGTAATAAAATGTCTTCGTGTAGAAACAAATGTAATAAAAATAGGAGGCAAAAGAAATGCGACGCCGTAATATTTTCCAATTACTTAAAAATTATCTTTTTTTTAATGAATTAGATATCTTAAAGTATTGTTTCTATACTATATAAGAATGTAGTAGCAATATCAATGAGATATGTAATCAATAAGAAAAGTTTCCTTGTTGCAAAAATGCACATTACTTGATATTACGAAATGCATCGTAAAAAAAATCGCGGTGTCACAATTGCCTTAGTCGCTCCTAAGTGTTAGAAGCTCGGCTCCGATTCTATTCCAAGATAAACCGAAAGTGTGCTCAACGTAGAATTCTTTGTGCGGACACAGGGTGTTCAAATGAGAGATCGATTGAGTTTAAAAATTGATCGATGAATATTTTATTGAATTTTCGAAAAGTCCTTTGTTTCCTTCCGACGTTCGTAGTCGGCACGTGTAAGGCTAGACCCTATGTAGAGGCACCCTACGTCAGTGTATTCTATGGTTACAGCACCTGTACACTGCGGCAGACACCGTAGGAGCACATTATAGGAGTCCGCTCAGGCAAGCTGTTATCAACCGTTATTTGCGAATCTGTTTGCAAAACTGTTTGCCTCGATGTTGTTGCCTGTGTCTCCAAGAATCCATCGCTCAAAGAACAGAGCCGCACCCTGCGTTGCTGGAGCACTTCCCTTTAAGATCATGTCGAAGATATCCACTTCTTATCGCGCGATAAGAGAATTCTTTCTTTCTTGTAATATCTCATTTAATCGAGCAAAGAGCTTAAGTCTTCATGTTTTTAGATTCCTGGTTTATAACCATATCATTTTTTATATCTCCAAGCTCGCGCCTATCTTAGCATACTGAGTTCTCAGTTTTAAATATTCGATTTTCTCTTCATATCTTCTGAATCATTATTTCGCTAAATTAAAAAAGAACGTGCAGGTCCATTTTCATAGGGTTCTAAATTCTTAAATTTTTATATAGTGCTCTTTCTCAATGACGTGTGTCAGTTTTTGAGATTGTCTTCAAATTTCATTGGAAACTTGTCTTTCTCAATGATGTGTGTCAGTTTTGGAGATGACTTTCAAATTTAATTGGAAATCTGTCTTCGAATATCTCCCTAAATCATCATCTTCATATTATTTCCATAACACTCCCAGAGCGTTCATCTTATCTTTCTGTACCAGAAGTTAATTCTTAGGCTTTTTATTTCTTTGTCTTCAGGAATGCTTCAGCAATCGAGGTATGCTCTTTAAAGACAAACGCGACTGTTTGCTTTCACAAATAACCGTCCGACGTTCACTGATCGATTGTGCAAAATTAGGCTGTCACCCACACTTTCTGTTGCAATACACAATATCTTAGAGAGAAAGCAAAAGAAAATGAAAAGAGTTAAAAGCAGAAATCGGCGAAAAAAGTCGTGCCGACCAATAACAGTTGATACAGTTTGACGTCACCTGTTTTTAACACCGTCCGAGCAGAGAAGTTCAAACTGTATCGAGTACGTTTCGATCGACGAAAACGATCGAGATTCACTCGCTTTCTAGTTCGACACTCGCGCGACAAAATTGTTGCAATAATTCTCACTCGTAGTGACAGAACGTTGTAAATAACAATAAATGATGATGGTGTGGCCATGGGTATGTATAACAATGTCCTTCCTTCTTAACAAAGGACTGTCTATATGTGTTTTAAGTGTGCCGCTTGCTCGCATGCCCTTGCATTCGTTTTTATCCTTTTCGTTACATTAATCAGGATCAGTGTGGATCATTGGATCGTTAAAGATTATACATTGAATTTTATTTTAGGATCCATCGATTCTTTTTCGAGATCACGGAAATTCCACGGAATGAGAAACTTAAGTAACGTAGTAGCTTAAAAATTGGAAATTCTGTAATCTTAAGGAAGAAAGGGAACAGGGGAAACAACAAAATTCCTTTAACGATCTAACAGCTTGGCTTATGTCGCGCTTCACTTAAATAAGTTGCGCCTATTTCGCATCGTCTGCCAATGATGATCTTAATCCCATCATGTTTCAATCGACTAGAAACAATGTCGAAAGAAAATTCTGATATAATTCTCCAATTGAATATTCCTTTCGAGCAAACTCTTATTGTTATATTAAACGGACGAGATAATAATGGCTTATACAATTTTTTTCAGATTTTTTAATAAATAAGAATTGCCATACATATTTTCCTCCTTGATCTATCTCTAGTAATCTAGCGGTTTTTCTATTATTCAAAATCTCTTAGGCACGACCGCGCGCAATTAGCAAAAATTTTAAAGTTCCAATTTTGTATAATTTTATTATATGTTTTCTTTTCTGTATAATCTTAATCTATATCATAACAAGTAATGTAATTACTAAATTGTCTTTTTTATTTGATGGCTTTTTATCTGTTGAAATACGTAAAAATACTTTTCTCATGTTAGAATTCCTATAAGAATAATGAGAAATTGCATAAGCATCACTCACGGTTGTGCCGTTGACTGGCCGCTAACTTTCGCTCAACGATCATTTAACTTTTATTGTCGTTATCACACATACATACATACTTACGGTCTGGCAATTCATATTTAACCCAGCGAATTAAACGAACTTGAAATATCTTGGTTAAATATAACTTACGTTTTAACTGAATCTGTATTTTGTATGACTCAAATTCTAAATTTCATTTCAAGGAATCAGGAATCAAAATAAGAAATTAAAAAGGACAATTGTGAATAAAAAATTAAGAAGATCTAAAGAAATTAAACATTTCATCATTTTTAAGATTTAAAATATAAGTAATCATTTAATTTGTGTATAAAATTTATCACAATCTAGTTATCAAAAAATTATTCAAATTGAAAAGCAATTAAATTTGTTATCATATTTCTTTTTGTAGCATATTATACTCAATTCATCATGTTTGCTGCTATGTGGAAAATAATGCGGTATTCTAATTATCTTAATTGTAAACAAAATCGTTACGAAATATTTCAAGTTCGCCCAAATAGCCCAAAAATAACGAAACGAGAGGCAAAATCCGAAAGTGCAAACAAGAGGACAGAGTTGTTGGAGCATTGTGGTCGTGTCTAGTGTGGCTAATGTGGTTGTGTCTTGTCTGTTGTGTCGTCAGCAAGAGCACGCGGGCTTGAACCCCACCGAGTCCATGACACGCGCGTTGATTAGCGATGATAATATCGCCCGCCAGTCCGCCCTTGGTCCTGTCCAGTTGGGGTACGTACTCCCATTACACTAGTTAATCCTTCCATCCTGTTGTGCAGGATCCTAGGAATCCAATGAGTCGGACAAATTCCACGATGAGGATCCACGAGGTATTCAGCCGATAATCATTTCTCGGCTGAAAAAATCCAAGGACGTAACGACGCGCAGAATCGAGCAAATTCAAATCCTTTTCGTATATCGTTGATTTCGTAGATTTATAATAGAAGCTACGTCTCCTAGAAATTTTCTGTTCTTCAATGAATCTTAAGAAGTATAATTTTTTTTTCATTGCAGAACTAAACACTTCATATTGACATATCGTCTTTCTATTAGCGTAAATCCTCGCGACGTTAAATCCTCGGAGATTTTAGCACTCTCGATACTCTGGACTCTTCGACGCTTTGGATACTTAGAACCTTACACTCTTCAGTATTTTAGTTCCTTAGAATCCTAGATATTTGGAACTTTGGATTTCTGGTACTTCAAATTCATAGAGGTTCGGACCCTCGAGTTTTGGGAAAGCGCTTCAAAACATTTGGTACTTTGGAACACTAGATCTAAAATTCGAAGGTTCGCACATCCACACCACATTTAATCCTAAATGTGGCTGTTTTGCGTATAATATTATATGGGATTGAGAATTGGACAGTGAAACATGACGCATCGAAGAATCTATAAAGAGCTACGATATCCTGGAGCTTTATGGATCTAAAGATCCTGAAACTTAATGCACTGAACACAACACACACAATGTAAAAGACATTTAAGAGCTTGCCGCAAGTGTTACCCATACACACAGGAAAAGATCAAGTTGTATATGGAAGTCTTTAATTTTTTCTTTATATATAAAAAAAAATTTATAATTTTAAATAACATTTTAAAGTAATACCAGAATTGTATAACATATTCGTAATAAGATATTATTAGGTAGTGATTTAATAAATGTTGTTAAAATGGTAAGTAAATGTTATTTGATTCACAGAAGAAATTTTTCAAGAATCAATGCTATATGTTTACTTACCTTTTTCATTCTTGCATCTTGTGGTATGATGGCTGTGTGACATAATTGCATGTCCCAAGTTGAAAAGAGTCATAAAGTTGACAATCATAACGTGTGATTCCATATACAACAAACTGATAAAAATGTATTGACAAAGCAAGTCCCATGGCACTTTGCATAATTATGATCCGACGTACGATGATACACCCCGACAAAACCCAGTTTGTTCCTGTGACACACGTATGCTGTTTGTTGGAGTTTGTCGTTGAAAGAGTGTCTTGAGGATCCGTAGGATCGACAGAGGTATGTAAAAAGGAAACAGAAAATGAAAGAAGGACCATGGCTACAGAAATCATCATTTCCCAATTGGCTAGCTATTCCACGGCAAATCCGCACGAGTCGTTGACCGATACAGATTGAAAGCTTCGCTATATACTGTCGTAACGATTACCACGATGCTTTACTTGAATCATCATAAGGACAATGATCGTGATCGTAATCGTAATGAGTCTCTCACAACCCAGTTTGCGTTAACGCACATGCCCGCCGATAGACACCCTAGGTATCTGATCTTTGTTTGCCATTATTATCTTTTAATATGACTTTTTATGTCGTCATGCGAACAGCTTCGTCGCAGGAGTTATTCTGAGGGAACGCATCCCTGCGTTTGAGCGCATGCTGTGGCGTGCATGCCGTGGAAATGTCTTTCTGCGTCAGGCGGAAATCGAAACTCCTTTGGAAGATCCTTCGACGGTGAGTGATCGCAAAGGTCTAAAAATCTAAAAAATCCCTAGAACGTAAAGGATTTATCGTGAATACGAAATCGCAAATGGACCTTACATAATTAAGAATTTATGTCACACGCGAGAATTTCTATAAAAAGTTGAAAGCGCGTGTAGCAGCTCATACAAGATTCACATTATTAATGAATATTAACGGATTTAGGGAGACCAGGTGCACAAGTCGGTCTTCATCATTTTCTTTCAAGGCGATCAGCTGAAGACTCGCGTAAAGAAGATCTGCGAAGGCTTCAGGGCAACTTTGTATCCCTGCCCGGAAGCGCCAGCTGATCGCAGAGAGATGGCTATGGGCGTTATGACACGCATCGAAGATTTGAATACTGTAAGGAAATCGCATTATATTTTGTTATAAAAAAATCGTATCGTTATATAATATTCATATTGCAATTTCAGTATTGATGTTATTACATGTTGTTATATACGTTTATTATTTCATAACACTTTTCAACCTTAGTCATTCTGTCACTGAGAAGAAAATTGATATGAAACTATTCTTCAGGTCTTAGGACAGACGCAGGATCATCGTCATCGTGTTCTCGTAGCTGCTGCGAAGAACATCAAAAACTGGTTCGTCAAGGTTCGCAAGATCAAGGCTATCTATCATACTCTGAATCTTTTCAACTTGGACGTCACTCAAAAGTGTTTGATCGCTGAATGTTGGGTGCCTGTTTTGGACATTGAGACTATCCAGCTGGCTCTAAGACGCGGAACGGTAATTGACAGACTTATTCTTGCTATTTCCTCGATCATCTTATTGTTGAATGAAAGATTAACGTCTTTTCTCTCTCTCTCTCTTTCGTCTTCAGGAGCGCAGCGGGAGTTCCGTACCCCCAATTTTGAATCGTATGGAAACGTTTGAAGACCCGCCGACGTACAATCGCACTAACAAGTTCACTAAGGGCTTCCAGACGCTGATCGATGCGTATGGAGTCGCTTCTTACCGCGAAATGAACCCTGCACCCTACACCATCATAACATTCCCATTCCTGTTCGCGATAATGTTCGGTGATAGCGGCCATGGTCTCATTATGTTTCTGTTTGGCGGCTGGATGGTGCTAAAGGAAAAGCCATTAGCAGCAAAGAAAAGCGACAACGAGATCTGGAACATTTTCTTCGGTGGTCGCTATATCATTTTCCTCATGGGTATATTCTCTATATATACAGGTCTCATTTACAATGACGTGTTCTCCAAATCACTCAATATTTTCGGCACCAACTGGGTTATTAATTATAATCTCAGTACCGTAATGAACAATAAGGAACTACAGCTGAATCCGAGTAGTGAGGATTATATTGATTATCCATACCCATTCGGTATGGATCCTGTATGGCAGTTGGCTGAGAACAAGATCATTTTTCTAAACTCGTACAAGATGAAGATATCCATTATTTTTGGCGTGCTGCACATGCTATTTGGTGTAATGGTTGGCCTGTGGAACCACATGTACTTTAAGAAGCGCATCAACATCATTTGCGAGTTCGTGCCTCAGGTGATCTTCCTCATATTGCTCTTCTTCTACATGGTGTTGCTTATGTTTATCAAGTGGATTAAATACGGACCGAAGAATGAGTTGACAGCTGGCCCGGGCTGCGCACCCTCGGTTCTCATCACCTTCATCAACATGGTTCTCTTCAAGCATGTCAACAAAGTTGGCGTATGTGATCCTTACATGTACAGCGGTCAGGGCGGTCTGCAGCAATTCCTAGTGATCTTGGCTGTGCTTTGTATACCATGGATGTTGCTGGCGAAACCAATTTTGATGATGCGCAATCGTAAGAAGCAGCACTACCAGCTCAACAACCACGGCGCCGAGAACGGTGACGTGGAGGGCGGCATGGGAGCCTTGCAGGCGACTGGTGGCGTTACTCAGGCGGGCGGTGGCGGCGGCGGCGGCGGCCACAAGGAGGAAGAAGAAGATATGACGGAGGTGTTCATTCACCAGGGTATTCATACCATCGAATACGTTCTCGGCAGTGTGTCGCATACCGCGTCCTACCTGCGTCTGTGGGCCTTGTCTTTGGCCCATGCTCAGCTGTCCGAAGTGTTATGGATCATGGTGATGAGAAATGGCCTGGCGAGAGAAGGCTGGGACGGCGGTATCATCCTTTACCTTATCTTCGCCTTTTGGGCCGTACTTACCGTAGGCATTCTCGTACTCATGGAGGGTCTCTCCGCGTTCTTGCATACATTACGTTTGCATTGGTAAGAATCTGCTAGATAGAAATACATGATATCTTAAAAATCCTTCTTTCCTTCATATAGGATCTTCTTTTCGAAAATATTAGTTTCAAAAGTCGGAAAATTAATTGTATCTTATCTCTTCTATTAAGCTTGAGTTTTTCGCTACTTCATATTGCTTTATATAGGGTGTTAGTTAAATATGTTGCCATACTCAACAGAGCGATTCTTTGGTTTATTTCAAGTAAAAAAGTTCATATAAACATGTGTCCTAAACGGCTTAGTTTCCGAAATATAGGTGAATGTTCGCAAATATTTGACGAAACGGTAAATTGCGTTGGAGATATCTTCCTGCATAAATATGCCTTGCTTCACGTGAGTTACCATTCGCACGATCGTAAACAAAGTGACAAAGTCAAAGTCATAAATTCAAAAATAGACTTCAGTTCTGATGTTGCTGCGAGTCGGTTAGCTTGTGTATTCGGGCCAAATTGTTTCAGCCCATCAAAATCGGTTTCATCATGCCTAAGTTTACAAATTTTGAAATGACAGATATGCATTTTGCCTACGGTCTTGCAAATGATAACTCACGTGAGGCAAGGCGTATTTATGCAAAAAGATATCCCCAACGCAATTTACCATGTCATAAAACATTTGCGAATATTCACTGCTATCTTCGAGAAAAGGGTTTTTTTGTAAGGAACACTGTTGACCTTGGAAAGCTTGTGACAGTTAGAACACCAGTACTAGAGAAAGCTGTTCTAAACGAAACAGATTATTACTACACGTTTAAATTTTTTTATTTCGGAAACTAAGCCGTTTAGGACACATGTTTATATGAACTTTTTTACTTGAAATAAACCAAAGAATCACTCTGTTGAGTATGGCAACATACTTAACTAACATTCTGTATAAATAAATTAAAAATTATGTTAAATTTATACATTTAAGCAGTTTCAATAATTTCTAAATTCATGTATTGTTGCTGTATAAATTGATTATACTAATTATATTTGTAAATCAATGTTGATTGTTTCTAATTCTTGATTTGTATCTGGCAGGGTGGAGTTCCAGAGCAAATTTTACTCTGGTTTGGGATATGGTTTCCAGCCGTTCTCCTTCGAAATTATTTTAGACGCTGCACAGGCCACTACTGAAGATTAATTTAATAATAGTTTAATGATAATTAACGATCATTACTGACTATCGTTGTCAGTAGAAGCTCGACGAGATCGTAAATTCGATAGTTGCTCCTTCAAACAAGTCAGTCATGAATAATTAATGAACGAAAAATCTCTTCTGAATGAATATTTGGAATGTCAATTCAATCATTATAATTTGTCAAAGTGCAAAGTTATATCCGTGTAATCGTTGAAATATAAATGAACAGCGCTTCCTTTAATAAGACTACAAGATTTATAATACAAAATCATTATTAGAGAATATTTTTGCTGCACTATAAGTTTGTTTCTTTAAATTGGTCAAAAAATTGCAATCGAATTTGAGATCTAATTTGTTGTCTTTATTATCATTAAATTGGTATGAAGTATTGTTTCTTTTTTTATTATTGTTTAATATTACAAATCTCACAACTTTAGGAAGTGTTATTTAGGCGATGCGGAATTCATTCCGCATACTATAGAATCTAGATCTGAAAACATACGTCGCAACAAAAGCGATAATCGATTGATGTTGTTCCGTATATCTGTACGTAATAAAGAATGTAGCAAATTGAAGAGAAACTTGATCATTTATGAATGATTGCGTCAAAGCATGACGCAGTGTACTCAATGAGACAATATGTATATAACTGTTGAGAGACTAATTCTGCTTTAAATATAATCAAGATTCCAAAAACCTCTTCCAAATGTCCGCACTCATATTCCTTTTAATACAAAATCCGGTTGTTTGATGTTCAATAGAATATTATATTGAATTTAAGCCCACTCAGAATTAAATTACAGTTAAATTAATTGTGAAATTATAAAAGTGAAAGCGATTTTCAAATAAGATTTGGCAGACAAATTTTATTCTTTCAAAGAATAACTGCTTAATTTGTAGTATAAATATCCTACTAATCAAGGTTTACATTCAGGGATTAAGAAGTACTTCTTTCACGTGTGGAACAGTTACGAATTTAGATTTGTAAAAAATGATCTCAAGGAAATTGTATAAATGGTAAGAATTGAAAAAGAAAGTTCATATATGTGTTTTTCTGCATTAAGAATAAACTACAAAATTTCTCAAAATTATAAATCTAAAATGTTACAAAGAATCGTTTCTACATTTGCATAAATTGCCACTTCCTGAGAAACAAATAATTTTATTATTTTACTAATTTTCTTCCTAATTGTGACATCATGACAATAATATGTATTTAAAATTGTCTAAATTTCATCATACATAAAAAAAGATTTAAATGATTTCTTGACTATCGCTACTGATTATGCTACATCCACCGCTTTCCTTTTTCCAGCTTAGACTCTTCTGACTGTTCTCCCACCCAGCTTGATATATTCTTATCAACCTGGACTTCGATTGGTGTACGGCGCAACGCACGCGTCGCTCGCTCTCAGCCGACCTCTGGCCGCCTCTGAGCCCCTCGCTAGTCACCACTAGTCACCCAGCAGCATTCAGGCGAAGTGGGTCTCGCGGTTCTCCAGTTGGATTTATATTGTCGTCACGTCGAGCCACGAGCAACCTTGAGTGCATCATGGCATCCGTATGCATCATCGGTTCCGGCAACTGGTAAGTTGAAACGAACATTAGCTCTCGGAAGAAGAAGGTGATAAGAACTCGGACGGTAGAGCGATATCGACGAGAATGAAAATCTGTGAAGTCCAGAATGTGATCGATTTGCACGTGCTGTCGCGCGCGCTCACGCAGATGTGGCGCACGTATTTGTTTACTCCGACCAGTCCGCGCGTGCTCCGACCAGTCACCGAGGTAGTTTCGAATTAATGAAGTGTTTCGCATAGAATCCACGTTACACAATACATGATTGACGTGCGCTGCTTATTTAGATAATAATGAATGATTAATAGTTACTTAAGTATTAATATGCGCGTGCCCATTTCACGCGTTTTGTTCGTACGAATGTATGAAAATATGTTTGAATGCGGTTGGATTAGAATTAGTTAAATTTGAAGTTAATTGCTAATTTTTTTCAGAAATAGTTACAGATTGAGAACAAAATATAATTTTTATCTTTTTTATAACTTCTCTCTTCCTTTCTATTTCTTTTCTTAAATTTTGGTAGGAAAAATAGTAGTCTTGTAGTTCCATGTCGTTAATGACATTAAATAAATTAAAATATTAATTTCAATTATATTTAATTCACAGGGGATCGGCTATCGCAAAGATAGTCGGCGCGAACGCGGAGAAGCAGAGCAAATTCGCCGATCGCGTTACTATGTATGTTTACGAAGAGATTATTAATGGGAAAAAATTGACAGAAATCATCAACGAGACCCACGAGAATATCAAATATCTTCCTGGACACAAAATTCCTGAGAATGTGGTAAAGTAGCTTTAAATTTGTTTTATCTAATGACTAAGTATCATTTAAAATTAACTAAAGGATGTAATTTATTTTTATATCTTTTTTACTAACTTTTTTCTTTAAACTGCGTATTTTAGGAAAACTTTAAAAGTTGAGTGTTAATTCTTGGAAATCAACTTGTAGAATTTTTGGAATTTTATACACGGCAGTTTCAACACGTTTCTTTCCTACGATTCTCCCAAATGTTTGGCGATATCAAAGTGCTAAGTTCAAGATCTTTGCATATCTGATATTTTTAATTTCTCTCTGATGTTACCTAAAATTAGAAAGTTGCGAAATAAGCTACCGACCTCGGCACTTCCAATCGCGCAGTATTGATTCACTTCAATTATTTATTAGCGATCTTGAACGTCATTTTCTGAACCTTGAACGCAGTCAAGGTAATCATATTGTTTTACTTGCGGCATTATTGTTGTATTTTCCGCAACGTCATCCGCTCACGTTCTCCAATTTTTTGCCGTGTCTTCTTTTAGAAAGTTCTTTTGTGAGACTCGTGCTTGTGTTAGACAATAGACCAGTGTGTCGTTTATAGTTCTAAAATATCAAAGTTATATAATTAAAGTCGCTGGGTTTGTGCATATTAAAAACAAGAATAGTGCATATTAAAAACTTGATCACCTTGATTAAATCGATTATTATTAGTTATATTATTCATAGCAGTTGCATTTGATAAATAATTTCGATTGTTTTTATTTTATTAATCTTATGTTTAAATCTTTAGTTCCATTTTTTGCAGTCGATATAATCTGTTGAAATAATTAGAGAATAATGGATTTGTGTGGGTTATCGTGATTATGGTTGATAAACCTAGGCCTTTAACTATATTTTCCGTAAAGGTAGCCTCCCGCGAAGAATCACTGTATGTGTGTAAAGCCGGCTAAGAATAACGCGTCTTCATGAAACATTCATCCTTCAGAAACACGATGCTATAGACGTATTCTCAGCCAAGTAGGAGTTAAAAAGGGAAACGATGGCGCGAGTAACTTAATGTACATCTTCATATGACTTGACTGAGAGACACATATAAATTGTCTTTTCACTACCAGTTATTGACATATCCTTTTGGCTGATTTAAAATTGATTTTTCCGATGTTCCGTTTGATTGCAGATCTAGTCAAATTAATTCAATGTTAGAAAATAAAAGGAAGATATTTTTAACTAAAAGCAAAATATTTAGAAAGTAAGAAAAGAAAAAATAATAATTTTTTCTTTTAAATTATATCACGTGATTGTATATTATCGATATTACCTTTTTATGAAATTCCTTAAATATAGTAGACGAGGACATGACATACAAATATTTTAGATAAATCAACTTTCAAACCGGTTTTCTTATTAACTATCTGTTCTCTTACATCACACTCTAATTAATATTCAACAATTTAAAATTCCAAGGACATGCATAAAACTACTCAAGACGAAGCATTTGAAGTATTTAGTATAAAAGAATCTCTGAAATATAAAAGTTTCAAACAATCGCATTTGTTCGATGTTAATATTCAAGAGATACTCCGAAATATCTCTTGAATATTAACATTTCCGAAGTAAATGGTTTTCTTATTAACTATCTGTTCTCTTACATCACACTCTAATTAATATTCAACAATTTAAAATTCCAAGGACATGCATAAAACTACTCAAGACGAAGCATTTGAAGTATTTAGTATAAAAGAATCTCTGAAATATAAAAGTTTCAAACAATCGCATTTGTTCGATGTTAATATTCAAGAGATACTCCGAAATATCTCTTGAATATTAACATTTCCGAAGTATCTATTTGCACTATTCTAGCCACGTCTATATGATATCCGAATACCATATAGTGGCTTATATTAAGCATAGGAAGCGTAAAACAGTGCGAATGAAAGTAACAGATAGAACACACGATATATTTTCCAGCATTCCATTGCTCCGAGCAATGTAGTATTAAATCTGTATCCAAGGTCGCATTATTTTCCGCGCTCGAAACGTATAATGGCTTTTAGTGTCATCGAGTACGCTGGATTAAAGCTGATAATACCGAAAACTTTCTCCAGTGACTTACAAATTATATGTTTACAAACTCTAAAAACTACTGTACATTCTTTCAATTGTAAATTTCACGACTGGTTTACAAAGACGATTTCTTCACCATGATTTATCTCAGAAAATCTGAGATAGAGGAGTCAATTTATTTAAATTTATAGCAACTTTTTATATCTCTTATTTATTATGACACTTTTGGAATCTCAATACCAGGATTTTAACACTTGTGGTATGATTAATTATCTCCAGATCGCAGTACCCGATGTAATAGAAGCTGCAAAAGATGCAGACATACTCATCTTCGTTGTGCCGCATCAATTCATTCGAAGGATATGCAGCACGTTGCAGGGGAAGATCAAATCCACCGCTGTTGGCCTTTCCTTGATCAAAGTATATCTTTCAAGCATATACACTCAACTGCTACATACACAGTAGCTTTTTATGATTTTTATTCAATCAATATGTAAATCAATTCATTCAGAATTTCTCTGCAGGGTTTTGACAAAAAAGAAGGAGGTGGCATCGAGCTTATCTCTCACATAATTTCAAGACAACTACAGATTCCTGTTTCGGTCTTGATGGGCGCTAACTTGGCTTCTGAAGTGGCGGAGGAGATGTTCTGCGAGACCACTATTGGTAAGATGATAAGATTTTAATTCTGAGTAATTGCTCTCGAGATATTAATTGTTCGCAGCAGTTTAAACGACTGTCGATAACATTACATCAAAGATAACTTTGAATGTTTGCAACGATAAAGAATACATTCGCGATACCTCTTGCAAAAACACGATGTATTGCGAGTTATGTAATCGCATAAATTATTTCGCAGTTCTGACTGTCCTAGATTTTTTATGGGTCCAATTCATGCATCAATGATTTTATTTTATTTTACACTTTTATTTTACACTTTTATTTTACACTTTTATTTATTTTTTTTTTTTTTATTTTATTTTACACCTTATTGCATCAATGATTCATGATGTTGAAACTCACTTGAAAGCAAATGTAATTTACAACTCAGATTGCGATTTGCAGGATGCAAGGACAAAGCGATGGCGCCGATACTCCGTGACCTGATTCAAACTTCGTATTTCAGGGTAGTAGTTGTCGAAGATGTAGATTCCGTGGAATGTTGCGGAGCGCTGAAGGTGCAATTATTTATAATTTTATAAATTATTCTTCTTATCTTTAATTAGACCCGAATATTTCATTTGATTTAATTTAATCTCGTTAAAAAGAACTTTGTGTTGATGATTTTTAGAATATAGTTGCCTGCGGTGCTGGTTTCGTCGACGGATTGGGTTTAGGTGATAACACGAAAGCCGCCGTAATCAGACTAGGTCTTATGGAAATGATAAAATTTGTCGACGTGTTCTTCCCGGGCGGAAAACTGGCGACATTCTTCGAAAGTTGTGGAGTAGCAGATTTGATTACGACATGTTACGGTGGACGCAACAGGAAAGTCTCGGAAGCCTTTGTCAAAACCGGCAAAGTAAGTAAAATACAACCTGTTTCAGGTCCAAAGGTATTTTTTAATCGGATTTTCAAAAATTATATAAATTAACTACAATTTTAACATCTCTTAGATATATAATAATTTTGTTCAATTTCCGCAACTGAGATGTAGAATTTTTGTTTAAACAGTTAAAAGTTTTGAAGAATAAATTTCTAGCAATTTGACACGTATATTATTTCCAACAATTTTATAAACATTTTATATATCACAATAATGTAACAAACTTTATCTTTATATAGTCGATTGAGACGTTAGAGAAGGAAATGCTAAACGGGCAGAAGCTACAGGGTCCGTTCACCGCTGAGGAGGTGAACTACATGTTGAAATCGAGGAATATGGAAAGTAGGTTCCCACTATTCACGGCGATTCACCGGATTTGCGTCGGTGAGCTAAAACCGACGGATTTAATCGACTGCATACGCAGCCATCCGGAACACATGTAAGCTCACAATTATCATCATAACGTTGAAAGTGGCTCGCGAACTTAAACCTAGGAACAATTAAACACGGTTCTATGGATCCCTTGTTACTGAAAATTCAGTAGCTTAATTTTAGTAAGCCCGAAGCCTATGAATTCAAGACAACATTTACGACAAACCGGTTTTGGGAAATATCAAATTGTCAAAGATTTTAAAAATATTAACTGTTTAGACTTAAGAGTATGCTATTTGATCCCAACCAGACCAAACCCAAGTTTCGTAAACTGAGTCTCCTTCGCCGATAAGATAAATCATGGAAGTTCGATAAGAACACGTCGCTCCAGATAACAGTCGTATGGATTGAAAATCTCATTAAAATTTTTATGTTTCGAGAGTTCGAGGAAATGTTGTAAAAAATTCCGGATTTTAAAAATCCGAAATTCTGTGAATCCCTTTTTAGGAATTTTTTCAATTTTTATAATTTTGACTTTACAATTCACGGCTTCGGGCCACTTACCAGTTAAAGGGTTCTTTAGATCCTATGTTTGAGAGATCGCACAGTTTAGTTAATAAAATTCCGCATCGCGTTGAGCGCGATGGACAAACAAATTGTTATATCTTACAAATGGAATATATATATATATATTTTTTCCTGAGACTATTCAATGTGTTAGCAGAGTAGACGGACTAGAGCTATAGATTTTTGATCGTCGATTGTTGTATGCGTTTCCGATTAATCAATCTCGACGTTATGTAAACCGAGAAAGAAGAAATATATACTTCATTATTTGTTAAGAAAAGAAAATAAAAATTCAGCTCTTCTGTCCTCTCTTTGTCTTCCCAAAAGGTCCCGAAGACAATGTCTTTTGTCGTTGATCGAATTCAAGGCCCTTAGTAATCCTTTCCTAATCGAATTACGTACAGAGCATATTACTAAAATATTTGAATAAGCTTCAGAAGCGAATTTTCGAAACAATGTAAAACAATCTATACGATTGAAAATGAACATTTGCAGTCCTTTCAGCGGCTTGTCCAAGCTTGGTTATTTTTAGTTAAAACCATATATAATTCTTTTGGCTGATGCGATAGTTATTTTGTCCGCAGTAATAATCACAGGCTTATAGTGTCAGCCTAAAAGGGTTAATTCGTATTCGCTCCGTATTTAGGAATGAAGACGCTCCGCTGTCATCGTCGTCGTCGACAACGCTGAAGTCGCCCTTAAGCCACCTGTGAAATATCAACCCAGTATTAATCATCGACAGAAGACTCAACGCCGCTTGAAAGTCAACGTCATAGTTTGCTCGAAAGCGCGACGTTGAAAGAAGTTCATCGAATTCAGTTGTCAAACCGCAGTGAAGTCCAATTGCTGGAAATCGTGTATTTCCAATATATTGACACGGTAGTTGTCGTATTATGTTCTTTTTGTATCGTCTAAGAAAATGTTACTTAATCAGATGAGCTCATTCTTTCGTCGATAGCTTAAAGAATGTTTCATCGATTAACATAATGAACAAAATGAACAAATCTAAAAGGCTCATCAAGATGGTCGGTGCATCCTAAGGACGCTCGATACAGCTGTGATAGTTAATAGACTGTCCAGGTCATAAAATGGATATAATTTCGTCATTTTTGATTATTGATAATCGTAATATACTTGCGTATGGCAAAACTTTATTTACATTTTTCTAATAATAACTAAGAATTTCTTCTATCTATAGTTACATTATTCAAACGAAATTGTAGGAAAAAACTGAACATTTTTTTATGGAATCATTGCTTTTTTAAGGAGTCGTCCTATATTTTAGCGTAAGATTATGAGTACTATAAAGCGTCTGTTATATATTATTAAGATTATCGTATTTGTAATCGAAAATTATTTTGGTAAAAGATGAAGCGATTTGTAAACATATAAGTGATTTACTCTTTAAAACCTTTAACTTTCATATATCTTAATTTTTCAATTTTTATAATACACATTCGTTTGTGCGCGTATTCATATATACAACTTAATTATATTTAATAAAGAGAGAAAAATTCTGATATCTCTCTCTCTCTCCCTTCTCTCTCTCTCTCTCTCTCTCTCTCTCTCTCTCTCTCTTTTTCTTGTATAATGTATAAATGTAAAATACGAATCCAAATTTTTGTTTTCAATTTCAATTCTTTCCGTGTTAGAAATTTTATAGATCTAAGTGTCCAGATCATTTTTTCATTTTCATTATCATCTGTAAAATTATTGCAAAATTTAAATTAGGGACAGATCATGTAGTGTCAAGTTCAGGCTTTGTTATCACTATTTGCACACCGCTAATTTCGTCATGGCGCTTCTTCACCATTCGGAGTTTTTGCTTGGTTGGCCTTGGTCCAGAGCTTGCGCACAAGCTGTTAGAAAATAATTGGCAATCGCCGTTAAGGTCAGCGGGCTTCTAAGTCAGTCGGCCAGTCCATCCTCGCGATCGATCAGCTGTCGATCGGATAGAATATCGTTAAAGAAGAAAACATCAAGGAAGGAGAAACGATGCCGGACGCGAAGAAGAGAGTATGCATCGTCGGTAGTGGCAATTGGTAATTTCCTTTTGACTGAAGTTAAATAATTAGTGATTAATTTCAAACGCAATTATGATCGCATTATTTTTTACCTTTGTCTTTGATTTTACATAATCGTAGGTCGATCGAAAGTTTAATATTGTTTCATTAATTAATTAGTATTATATGTATGAAGCTTTAAATAATATTAAAAAACTAATATTTAATTTTTAAAGAATAACTATATTTGTGCAGCCATTAATAGAACAGAATGCAGTTTCTTTTGATCTAGTTTTCTATGACAGATATGCCATACAATACGATTGTGCACTACTTATTGTTCCAAAATTAACTCGCTGCATCACCACGTAATTTCAAGGACGAATAACATGTATAACTGCACATTTAATAAATAAAATTTATACAATCAATTCTCCAATATTTCCCTATAGTGTTTTTCCATGATGTATACGCCGATTAAAATTGAATTATATATCTATAATTATATAAGAATAATATATTTATTAATACATCACATTTTATTAATCAAAAGTAATGAAGTGACAAATACATATTCTTTGTGCAAAATATCTTTTTGTAACATGCGACGTATTATTTCAGGGGCTCTGCGATCGCGAAGATCGTTGGCGCGAATGTTATGAAGTTCAACAACATATTCGAAACTCGAGTGACAATGTATGTGTATGAAGAAATCATTAATAATGAGAAGCTTACTGACATCATCAACAATTTGCACGAGAACGTTAAATATTTGCCTGGACACAAACTTCCGGAAAATGTGGTAAGTATTTCATATATTAGTGTTTCTATCAGTTGCAAGATTATTCATGTTAAAGAAGACATATCATACTAAAAAATTATATATACAATGATACAATTTCGTATTGCAATAAAATTTGACATATTTACTTTTAAGGATTGCCAAAATGATTACTGTGAAAAATTAAATATAGCTAAAAGAAATTATAACATAAAATTTAAAAATATGTTAATTGAAAACAATTTGAGATAAAGATTTTGAAATCCAAAAATCTAGAAACTTAAACTCTATAAGTGCAAAGTATTAAAATTGCTGCCACTGCAATTTGTATTAGAACAATTTTCATAAATACATACTTTCAATCTCACATGTGGATTCGAAAAGCTACAAGCGCAACATCAAGCATGTCAAATTAAAGAAAAGATATTTCGATAGAAATCCGGAATGTGTAAGTATATTCGTGTTGTAGAGAGAATTAATTTTCAATTAATAATCGGTGGTGGTGCGGACGTAGACCTTTCCGGAAGGCATGTTTACACGGTCGACACCTCCCGGGAAGAGTTTCGGAAGATCCTCGTCTTTCACTGTCGGCAAGATCATCACCTTCTCGCCCGGCTAAAATGATTTGCGCATGTAATTAAACAGAATATACGTGATCGAATGTTATCACAAGTAGAGAAGAACAAAACAGAGATAAAGTAAGATTTACCACCCAGTTAGCGGGCGTTGCTATTTCTGGTATTTTGTCGACGAGCTGCAGCGAATCAATCACACGTAATATTTCACTGAAACGAAAATAACATTATTTCTCACGTTTCACGGATGATTAAACACCGGAAAGAAATCAGAAAAGCATAAAACTCGATACATTTGAAATTTCAAGATCGACTCACTCGACATTACGTCCGGTGGATTGCGGATATTGCATAGACAATCGCAAACGATGATCCGGACTGATAATGTACAGAGCGCGGACGGTCGTAGCGGTTTCCGGATCATCCTTGTTCTTCTCGTCGATCATGTCCAGTTGCACGGCGAGTTTGCGGTCATGATCAGCAATGATGGGATACGGGAAAGCTCCAGGAATGTCTAGGCAGTACGACTTAATATCCTATGAGCAACGAGAATGATTAATTAGAAAGTCAAATAATCGCGAATAATTACAAGCGTCAATTGGAATATTGAATGAGTAATTTAATTTATTAAAAACAAAAAATCGAATGTCTTGGATATTGAGTACAGAAAATACTTACATTGACCCAGTCCACATGGTCTTTAAGTTTATCAACGGAATGAGCCAACAATTTGGTGTTGCGCTTAACAAAGTAAGGCTGGTGTACTGCGATGCGACCCAATTCGGTGGTGCACACGGGGGTGAAGTCGGCAGGGTGAGAGAACAGAACTACCCATCTGCAAAAAGTGGTAAACGATCGTCAAGTTAGCAAAAGTCAGTTAAGAACTAAAATCGATATTGAAAAATATTGGAAAGTAATAGTAGATGAAAATACAAAAACAGAGAGAACTTAGCAAATAAGGGAAGAAAATATTAAATTGAAATAGTTAAATTCAATATTGATAATAGAAACATGTGTAAATGAAAGTACAAAATTAGACAATTTATAATAAATAAGGAAAAATAATATATAATAATAATATTAAATTAAAATAGTCAAATCCGAGTGTGATTAGAATTAGTATGCCTAAGCGAAAGCCTGAATGATAAACGAATGTATTACTCGACAAAAATTGCTACGAAATGTAATCGCTTGTTACGGCACCTATCAGAGCTACAATGATAAAACTGTCCACGTCTGCCTTGACTCGAGTGCTTTCAAGTGCGAGCACTTATTATAGCTGTGTTCTCTCTCGTTTTGGCCGTAGTGTCAAGGATAAACACTCGTTGTTGCAATCTGTATTTATTTCAGCTCATGGTCGCTCTGAAATTTTTCAGTGCAAAGCACCGATTGAACGATCCGCTGTTCCTTATTCACGCATTTGTAATTCACGCATATAATATACTAGTAACGCGTATACTTGTAACCTTCAGAAGTTTGCTGCGACGCACTTACTGCAAGTAGATATGCGAAATAAATTAGTTTCATAAATCGTGATATGACACATAAGACTGCAATTTAGCGTAATAAAGTGTATCACATACAACTGTAATTTACTTTTCAATTGCATAAAATCAGATATTTGCAAATTGACAAGCGCTAGTTAATTTCCATTAATTATTACGTAAGTTAACTTCAATAGGTTGTTGTTTACAATGCTGATTATGTTAAACAGGATATCTATTCTTAAATTACGCTTTGATGTAAATCATAAACGTGAATAAATGCAAATTCAATAGTTTGCCATCTGCCTCAAATCCAACGATTTCGCAATCTCTGGTCATGTGGGTTGATTAGAATATTATTACAAGCTAGATAAGTTGTAATATCGAAAGTAATTCTGATTTATGATAACGTATTACTATCTTTTTTCTTATATTTCTTTCGCGTTATATAATATTAACACGCGTTATATAATATTATCACGATTCATGTGAGAAACTCTATCCAAAGATTACATTACATTTATTTTCATGTAATTATGTAAAATAGACTTCGTTCGTTCGTTTATATGTGGTCTTTTCAAAGAACAGTATCGTTGTCATACATACGTGACATTATAGTAGCGAAAACATTAAATAAAATTGGAAATTTTGAATAAAGATAAACTTGAAGTGAGAGATCGTTGCGTCACACATTGCGTGATGCTAGTAGCGAACGTGTTAAAACTGTTAACTCTTATTTTTAACAAGCTCTAAATTAATAAATGATTGAATTTTGCGGAAGAGTTCAAAGTAATATGATATTACATACATTGACAAATATAATCAATATTATAAATAAAATCAGAAATATATAAATTAAACATTAAATAAAATCAATATGTTATAATTTAGGCGACTCACGAGTTGCCCTGCCACTCGTAAAAATCGATGGGGCCCTGCGTGGTCTCGGCCTTAAAATTCGGTACAATGCTGTGGAGCCTCATTATTACAGTAACCTTGACTGGATGCTCGAAGAAAAAATTGCTCGAATCTCGATTGTCACTTTCAACAGGTTGCTTGCGGAGCGCGCTAATCCCTTGGATGCCAATCTGCGGCAAACTGCATCGCCTACGAGCTCATGCGCACATTTTATATGCGGCGCTCAGATCTCTAATACGATGTTACATGCATCAGATATCGTATCTCTACACGTTTATGTCTACGTTATGTCACGTTTATGTGTTCTTTCATATCAAACGTTGATTTTTGCTGATTGCATTATCAATCGTTTTATCTAATTTCGAATCAAATAGGTGTCACGCAAAAGCTCTTAACAGTTTTTAAAATAATTATCATTATTAGTAATAATGTGATCTAATTGAAACTGTTTTTACTCTAAAATTTACTTTCACATGTATCTTATAATGAATCACTTATTAATTACAATTGTACTCATTAGTTAATAGCATAATTATTATAGTAGTATACTTATAATTAGTAATACTTATTAGTATACTTATAATCTTAAAAGCGTATATTAATTTCAGTTTGATCTGAACTAATGCAATTTTTGCGATTAGAAGAAACCGATCTTTATGACTTCTATTTTTAATCGGATAATCAGTTACGTCATATTATTCAAAGAAGATTGAAATAAGTCTCTTTATCTTGCTACTACAGATGGTCTAAAGTGTCTTCTTTAGATCCTAAAATGTTCTGTCATATAAGCTAAAGTTTATGTACAATTCGCAATAATTTATCGTATTAAATAATGATACGATAAATTCTATTCCTTACAACTAAAAATATTATATCGAAGCACTACATATATGATTATTTTCAACGATTATGTCTTTTAATTTGATACAAGTTTCAAGTTAAATATTTCTGCATTTCTTTCCAGGTCGCCGTACCTGACGTCGTGGAAGCCGCAAAAGACGCTGACATCCTTATTTTTGTTTTACCTCACCAGTTTATTCGTACATTATGCTCGACGCTGTTGGACAACATAAAACCGACCGCAGTAGGACTTTCTCTCATCAAAGTATGTTTCAAATAATTCCTTCTTGTGCTCCCGAAATTCGTTGAATTAAATTCTCGATTTTCATTCGAAGGGTTTCGGCCGAGGCGAAGGAAACAATATCGAGTTGATCTCCAAAATTATCGAAAAGAATCTTAGAATACAGTGTAATGTTCTAATGGGTGCCAATCTCGCGAACGAGGTCGCCGAAGAAAAATTTTGCGAAACAACGATTGGTAAATATTTTTGAAATTTAAGTTTAATTAACTTAAGACTATTTGATATGTAATGTCCGCTCGAAACTTATAAAATTTTCTAACTTGACGCATAAAATTGCAGGATGTAAAGACAAACGACTAGCGTCGGTGCTGAGGGATCTCATCCAAACTTCTAATTTCCGAGTAGTCGTTGTGGAGGACTGCGAGCCTGTGGAAGTTTGTGGAGCTTTAAAGGCAAGTATATTCTTTTTAAAAAAATATAATTTATCTTCTCGCTAGAGAGACAATATTTAAAATATTCTACTTTTGTAACAAGACAAATTTTCCCACTTTCTTTGTCAATTCATTAACTAAACACTTCGTGTTCGTAGAACATCGTGGCGTGCGCAGCCGGTTTCGTGGATGGTCTTGGATTAGGCGACAACACGAAAGCCGCGGTGATCCGACTAGGGCTGATGGAGATGGTAAAGTTCGTAGATACGTTTTACAGTGGCTCCAAGCTGTCCACGTTTTTTGAAAGCTGCGGCGTGGCGGATCTCATCACCACTTGCTATGGTGGGAGGAATCGCAGAGTCTGCGAACAGTTTGTGAAGACTGGAAAAGTGAGAACAGATCTTTGTAGCTTCTGGAACCTAAAAAGAAATTTAGATTTATAGCACTTTTAACTCACATCATTTGAAGTACAGCTGAGATTAATTATATAAATATCATGATTTTTGTTTGGAATTAGAAGAAGTTTAATTGGAAAATTTAATTACGATATAATCCTCAATATTTTAGTGAGAAAAAGGCGATTCCACTACAGTAATATATAATAACATGTTCATTAGACCATCAGAGAACTGGAAGACGAGCTGTTATCCGGACAAAAGCTTCAGGGGCCAGCAACTGCGGACGAGGTCCACGATATGTTGAAGTCGCGCAATCTGATGGACAAGTTCCCTCTGTTTACCGCAGTGCATCGCATCTGCACAGACCAACTGCGACCGGCAGATCTTATCGATCAAATTCGCAGTCATCCGGAGCACGTGTAAGACTCTCGTATAATTGATTTTAACATACGCTTTTTTTTTCAAATTTGATTAAACCATGATACATGAATCGATAATCGATTAATTGATAAATCGATAATCCTAAAAATAATTATTCCATATTACATACATAACTGTAATTAATTAACCAAATGTTGCACCTTTTATTGAACTTTCCTCATTGGATCACTTATCATTGGATTTTCCTCAGATTTGCCCCAAAGAACCTCTTCATGTTCTGAACTTGCCTCTCCTTTATACACTCCGACAAATGCTAAGAACAATACCTCTTGTTCTGTATAAATTTTATCCCTTGCTCTTTCATACATAAATAATTACATGAAATTTGCATGTAAAAGGTGAGCAACAAACATCATTTATGTACATGACGACAGTATGGAATAAATATGTGCAGCAATTTTCTCATGTTCCAGGATGAAACTAGCGGAAGAAAACGCATAGTTACTAAAGATAAACAAAACATGAATTGGCCTAGTATAGGTGCAGTCTGAGACAGTGAAAACAAAGGAAACAACTTAGATAACATAAACTTGTACATATCTTGCACAGCCATTGTAATTTATTGCTGTAAATAAATAAAAGTTATTTTAATTATAAACTTAGTTATTCTTTTATCACAGTTAATGATGTTCTTTAATCACAGTTAATAATGTAATAATGCATATTTTACCTTTATATATTTAACATATACACACATATACATAGTATGTAACTAATGTGATATTTACAAATATTACAATTTCAAATAATTAAATATTTATCTATAAGTTATTTACCTATAAGTTAATTAAATATTAATCTATAAGTTGCTTTTAATTTTCATCACTTGATATCTTTCGATATTTTAGATGTGTCACTTAAACTCCCTTGGATCTCTTTCTTGTTTGACTTATCTTCTTGGTCTTTGTATGGCACATTATCCAATAGGACATCTGGAGTCAATTGCAGTTCTGAAATATATATTTTATAATTTATATATAATATTATAATTTATCAATCAGATAATATAGATTTAATTATATAAAATTATTTTTAGTATTCAAAATGAACAATAAATTCTGTAATTATTAATTATGTATTTATATTATTAATAAAGTATACTAATAGTTGTATATTTAATCTTAATTTATGATATATCCATATATACATATCCTAAAATTACAATTCATGCTTATTACCTATTCTTCCAGGAGCTGTTTCAACAGTTTGAATAACAGTTGTACGCACTTCATGTTCAATTTCCTGTGCAAATCTATTTAACTGAAACAGTAATAATTATAATGTATGTATATCACATTCAGTGATCTTATTTTATAGGCAAATTGTAGATTACTCTGTATACCAAAATTTTGCACAAATGTACCTCTTCAATGGCTGCACTGTTTGTTATATTTTTGTATTTTCTATATTCTTCGTTTATCTTGTTTCTTACAACTAAACAACATAATAAAATGTTACTTGTTAAGAATGAGTTCAATATATATATTGAGAAATTGTGATGGAAAAATTTTATCAACAAGTTGTAATTACCTTGCAATGCATGTTTATCACCCTCAAACTTTCTCAAACGTGTTCTATGAAGTTTCTTAAACACTTGCAATACCTAAAAACATTAAGCAATGACAAACATAAGCAAAGAAGTAACAAAGAAATAAAGGTAAAATAAATAAGTTATAGTTTTATTGGAGTTATATACATATACTACTTATATTTAGTAGTACTTATATAAACTATATATTTAGTATACTATAATTATATTTAGTAATTATATTATATAAACTGTGTTTATACTAAATGTTTTAAACAAATTGTGCTTAAATAAAAAACTATCTCGAAATTTGATTAATATTACTGCGTTTGAACATTTATTTTATAATTAAATCTATTTGATATTAGATTTCCAAATTTTAAAGATCATGAAACTATAATCTTTAAGAATTATGAATGAATAACTTAATATACTTTCGTCTGTGGTGGTTATAAATCATAAATATAAAGGAGATTTTAATGGATAACCTAAAAAAACAACAAACATAATCTTAAAGTACAATTATAATCACATGTAATAAATCCATTAATAATTTACTTCTCGTCGGAGAGAGTCACCCATTTTAGCAATTTTCTCAAATATTATCTGTTATAATAAAGACATATGTATATATAAATTAGAAAAATCAATCATTCTTTGTGTATAATAAAAAAGAAACTAGAAACTCGTATACTATTACCAACATCTATATATCAAAACTCAATCTGCTTTCAGTTAGTGTATTTTAATTTTTATATACTGGTACTATTGATAGCATTTAAATTTTCAAACGGCTTAAATTTCAACGGCTAACGGAATCAAAAGATGCTAACGGAATAAAAGTAATTATTTTTCTAGAAATTAAAAGGATCTTTAATTAACTGTTCCACCGTATATTCACGCTATTGAGCGTGCATTATGGGCGAGTTTTTTAATTCATCGATGAATCCATCGCATGATGCGTAAATACAGCGAAACGTTGCATTTGCGCATCATACAATGGATCCATCGATGAATTAAAAAACTCGACCTATTTATCGTTTGACAAGTTGATAAACGCATATTAAAGTAATCTTGATTATAAAGATTTTGTCATCACAATCGATATATTGATTTTGTATCACATAAGCTTTTACTATTTAGTTATTTACGCTATCGCTTTTATGAATACTACCTGTTTTTTAACAGATGTTCTATCCAGCTCATCTACTGTCTCGTCGACACAGAGGTAAACTAGCACCTTGCTGGCTTGCTGCAACAAACAGTGTAAATACTTTTAAGAAATATTACAACACAGCTGCTATAAAGAAGATAAATGTAACAACAACATGGTATATTATTTTATTTATATTTTATTTATTCTTACAATATATATTATTATATATTTCATTTTATTTATTCTTACAATATATATTATTATATATTTTATTTTATTTATTCTTACAAAATAATGCTTATTCTCTAATATCTGACATTTCATTGTTAGCGAAGAGATTTTGCAAGCAATACTATTACGCAATAATAAAAAGTTCAGTTTATATCTGTCATCTCAGCTGATGTATGGTGTAACAAGAATTTTTTCTTATCAAGTTGAATACTATCAGAGTGAGTTTAACATTTCTTTATAGAAAAAGTTTAATATAAATCAATAATTGAATATTTATTTTTTATATTCTTCATTTTAAATCTTACTACTTTTTAGAGGAACTTGTTGACATTTGGAAGATATTTAATTACACCTCAAAGTTGGACTCAGAGCCAAGTTTCAATGCTGTACGAGCTCTTGATACCTTACCAGAGATCGAACTCCCTTTGAGGGAACTAAAACTCCTTGATCGTCAGATGAAAGAAGACTTGCATATTCTTCCAGACGAAATGCCTGATAATGCAATGAAAGTACTTGTACGTATATTTTTTATAAGCTAATTTGACAATTATCACGTATCAAGAAAATATTGTATTCAAAATCTGCATATACCCATATTCCTATTCCTACATTTTAGAACTAGATATGATCATTTCCAAATCTTTTTGCCTTTCATGTTTAATTTTTAAATTGTCGTTCATGCAGATGCAAGATGCAACATGTCTGAATTTTGGTGTATTGACTGATGAGGAACTGGACTTCATGCTTGAGCATGACAATGATATCGCATTGTTAGTTCCTGTAACTCCTGTATCTTCCACAACATCCTAATCCTAGTGCAGAGAAACTCAATCTTTCATAAATTATAACGATATGTGTCCTATGCACCTGTTACTCTTACCTTTCTACTTTGTTCTTAAATTATGATATAATAAGCTTATAACAATCATATTTAATAAATTAGGTAATTTTATAAAATGTATAAAATGTATGCTTTGTTATACAGATATATGGAGCAAATGATGCAAATCACAGATGACAAGCACAAGAGCACAGAGATGAGAACTGACGTAGAAATAGCAGCAGGTAAGATTTTTTTCAACCCTTAGAGTACTGTGGATGTATATATTTGATCAATGAAAACCGTCACTGTAATCTGTGTGCATAAAAAAATAAGGGTGATCTGATGAGCATTGGCCATACAGAACATTCAGCTTCACGCTGTTCCGTGTTCTAAGGGTTAATGTTTAATGTTTACCCTTAAATAACAGGGTAGAGTCAACGATGATCTTATTTGGTATATATTTTTTAATTCATTGAGACCATGTGATATGTTTGCACCAAAGTCAGACACTACAATTAATAAAAAATATTTTTATACAATAATTTATTCTTAAATTGCTACTTATTTAACCTAATACAAATTTTAACATGCAAAAGAAAAAAATAAATTTAAAAAATATCAGAGTTATGTATGATCCCACCTTATTTATGCTTTATAATTTAATTTTCATCTAGTTATCAAAAGTAATTTTTTCAACTAAGAACATTAGCACTTAAATTGTTAAAAAAATTACGGACTTATATAAATAATTTTTATAATTGTTTTAAATAACTTATTTATAATAATTTAAAATAAGTTCTCACATTGGCAATTTTGTGGAATAGAGATCCATCAGGAGATGCATTCACCTCGTATCTCGAGTTCAGTACTTGTTGATAAATTGAAGATAACAGATAAATATAAAGGAAAGTCTGCTCCTTCTACTCCTCAAAAACGACAATCACGTCAACCACAAGTGGAAACACCATCAAAGAGAAGACGAGTACATATTAATCTATAACTATATAATTTATTGCTATAAATTTCTTGTAGTTGGAAAGCAATGTAAACAGATTTTGAATGATTATCATATTATAGGCCTTACATTTTTACTCTAATACTTATTTTAATTTCTGTTCTATATTTAATTTTACAGATATCATTGGAGAATATTAAATTACCCATTGCAGATACTGCAATGGACATAGCTCCTATTCCTCAAGAAGATACACCAATACCAGAACAAACACTAACTCATACAATGCCTGTAAAAGATATGGAAATGATGGTTTTTTCACAGCACATGGACTTAAACATGGAACTGGAATCTTTACATTCGAGTTTAAATACATTTGTTGTCAGCAGAAAAAAATTAGTTATTGATAAGAGGACAGTATTGACGAACACTGTATTAGAAAAGTGGCGTCAGAATATAAATTTTGAGTGCAGAGTAAGTTTCAAAATTGCGTAATTTTATATATAGAACCAGAAAGTATACAAATTTAAAAACTTTAAAGTTCCAAAAGATAATTGACATTTTACTTTGTACTCTTCGGACAATACTTTCAGGAAATGGAAATACCGCGAATACATAAGATATCGTCCATTGATCTCTTGACACGACCTTCGCAATATGATACCAAATCTTTGCGCAAGCTTTTTGTCAACCACACTAAAAGACCATGCAAAAGTGTAAACAAGGACACATCTATTGTCGAACAATGTACGATATAGACTTGTATCCAAATACTCAGACATCAAATATTCTTGTTAAATACTGTGAATAAACTTAATACTGTGAATAAATATATATCTGTGCTTTCAGACCCGGAAGAAGTACGTGGATTACAGAGAACAGTAGATGAGTACACAGGACCGATGACAAGCAAGGTTGATCTTGAACAACCTTCTATTGAACAGTCCAATATTGTCCCAGTTCAAACTACATGGTTAATACAATAATTTCATCCCAGAAAACCAATATATCAAAAATATCGCGATGACTCTCGCCTGTCTTTTATTTCCAATATGCTAATTTAGGATGTTTTTATATTTCTTTTTTTTTTATTGATATCTTTATTTCTGAAATTTTCAACACTTCCTTGATTTCCCAATGTCTCAAATCTGTTATGCCTCAATTATTTGTAAAATTATTTTAGGGTTATTGACAAACCACTGCATCAGGAGACCAGGGCAGACGTGGATGATGCTAACGATACCTTAGAAGATATAGATATTGTATTGGAAAAGATGAAAATTCTTTCTACATCAAAAGATGAAATTTCACTACCTTCCACTTGGTACCTTAAAATTCCTCTTTCTGTTAATTACAAATCTTGGGATCTAAATCATATTTGATAACTTTTGCAGACAGGCATCTTCCGATTAAGAATAGAAGATATTTTTCATTATTTATTGCATGATACATTCTTAAGAGACACTTAAACATTAATGATTAAGAAATTAATTTATAATTAATCAGCTTCAAGTTAAAGCGACCAAACTTTTTGTAGTAGCAACCTGTCTCATTTTCATTGTTTTTTTTAAGGCTCCTGACCCTTCGCATTGTCTATCTCTTTTTAATGACGTCAGAAGCGAAAAAATGCATGATAAAAATTCTTGCGAAATACGTTAAAATAAAAATATATATTCATAAAGTAACATTTGCAATCGATTAAACAAATATATAAGATTCCGTGCACTCCGCTTTTGGTCTAACAATCAATAATTTGTTGTAAATTAACATGACACAATTCATCTTCTTAGCCTATATATTTCTATTCAGGTTAATTTACAATAAATTGATTGTTAGAGCAAAAGGGGAGTGCACAGAATATCTTACAAATTTGTCTAATCAATTATAAGTGTTACTTTGTGGATATATATTTTTATTTCAATATATTTCGCAAGAATTTTTAGTATGCATTTTTTCTTGTTTCTGATGTCATTAAAAAGGGATAGACAATGCGAGGGACTAGGAGACTTAAGGACTGACAAATCTTAGTTTATTGTCATTTCAAAACCACATTAATCACGAAAGAAACTATGTAATATAACATGCAGTATAACACAAACATTGTTTTTGTTATCAGCTCAACTGATCAATGTGCATTTTTGACGAGCCAGGAAATTATAGCTATGTTAGAAGTGCTCTGGCATGACCAGCCATATGTAAAGTTCAGTCAACTTGTTCCAAAAGATACGGACTTGAAACAGAATGCATATACGAAACAGGATGCTGCAACAGTCTTCTGCATTCTTCTTGGTATGAATTTATCCATTTATCGTTATCTTCTGTTATGCTGATTACAAAATAATATTTATTTTTATGATATTGTTTTCATAATAGATCTCCAATCTCAGAAGAAGCTCATTCTAAATCAACGGGAGTTTTACCACACTCTATGGATCCAGAAATATGAGGATTATTCCAATTAAATATGATCAAAATATAATAATATAATAATATAATATAATAATATAATAATATAATAATATAATAATATAATAATATAATGTATTATATTGCAATCATCAATTTTGTACACAATTCAAGGATTTGGTACTTATTCAGTTTAGCGGCCTCACCTCCGATTTCGATGAAAGTAGGCTCAATTGACGCGTTTTTGTTAAAGAAACAACTTTTTTATTTTTTATTTGACAAAATCGTCGTTCTCTACTGCGAAGCGAGATATTAATAAAGTTGAGAGCGCATTAGGTTAGAAAATCTGTCATACCGTCTAGCTGTGTGACTGGGAGGCTTCGCCCTCCAGACCCCCCACACCGCGACGGGGTGATGGCCGCAGTCATTGTTTATTAAAAAGTTGACAAAAAAGGTTTGACTTTTAATAAACAATAACCGATAACCAATGTGACGATAGGTTGTGTTAGGTCAGTTTTTAAGTGGGGCGAAGGCGCAGCCTCCCGCTCATCGTTTGATATCTTTCCCAAAATGTTACAAAATATCAAATATATTAAAAATATTCTTAATTTAAGTATTTTCATGAAGTTGCTGCACACTGCGTTACACTAATACAATAAGTGCAACTCTAACTAACAGATTTTACATTGCAATGACGGGTTTCTTAACCTATCCTCTTTAATCTATTTAGCATCTCTAACAATTAATATCTCGCTTCGCAGTAGAGAGCAACGATTTTGTCAGAGGAAAACATTGTTTGGCATGCAAAAGCGCGTCGATTGAGCCTACTTTCATCGAAATCGGAGGTGAGGCCTCTAAACTGGATAATTACCATTAGTTAAATTTTCAAAGTTGAAGAAGAATTTTTCCGACATGGTATTATTTTCAAAAGAAATGCGATGCACAATCGCGTGTTTATATTATATAATCTTTATTTTTAAGTTATTATTATATAAATTTTTGCATAAGTATTATAAAAAAGAAAAAATACTAATAAGGTAAAGGTGAAATATAAAAATGTTTATAGAGTAAATAAGAAATTTGTGATATATATGTATTACACGTACAACATGTAATCATATGTAGTAACGCATGGAGGTAAGAAATACTAATATTAGTAATTTACTAGATAATTCTTTTCATCGGTTGGTTGTGTCCAATCGTACCGTGGTCAATCGGGATACTCCCGAGCCAGTTGAACATGCTATAATGGCTCCTGCACACAGGACGCGGTAATGCTTGCCGCGCGGCGAAGTCCGCGCGACAGCCAATCAATATGTTGTTTTTCCGTAAGAGCTAGAAGATTATTACCGAAAGCAGCATATTGATTGGCTGTCGCGCGAATTTCCGCCGCGCGGCAAGCATTATCGCGTCCTGGGTGCAGGAGCCAAAGTCTGTAAGGCTGTAACGTGAGCTGTCAGCGAATGAAAATAATTAATTTTGCGTCTTACAGCCATACAGCCATATTCTTACAGAAATTGTAAATAAGCTTTTAATGAATCGCAACCTAAGAACATCAGAATCGCGATATATGCGCATGCGCATGCACAAGAGGTTTGCTGTTATGTCGTGACATGCGATCCACTGCCATTTCCTTTACGACGCGGCGCGGACGCACGGCACGAGAACGTGCAGAGAGGTTTCCAAGATGGCGAAAAAAACCCAGGCCGAAAAAGCGGCGCAGAACGAGGACGCCGCAAAAGGTAACGAAGATCCAATGAATGACGATGAGGAACCTAACTTCAGTGATCCTGAGGGCTTCGTCGATGATATCACCGATGAAGGTGAGCGTCTCATTCCTTCTCATAATCTTCAATTCGATTGTTCGCATCTGTCGCCACCACCTCGTTGCAAGCATGGCACTCTCTCCTCATGTCACACGTGTAACACGTGTAATAATTATCTTCATTATCTTTACTCACTACTAATCCGTTAAACTGTAGGTGTTTTTAGGATTCTTTCAAACATCAAACGACATCAGCGGCCTTGTCGGTTATTATGCACCTAATAAATTGTCAACGTGACCTAACCTACAAATAACTGAACGTTATAGCGATTTTTTTACTTGTATTTTATTCATGAAGTTGTGAGTCGTATTTGTTATATAGAAGGAGTCTATTTACTATTGCTGACCTGGCTGCACTAGTTCTCTCTCATCTGTCTTCCACCAAATTTTATCTGTATATCTGTATCTTTAAATTCCGAAAGTGTACACTAATTCAACAATAGAAAACAGACCCAATGTGTCTGACATGAGATATGACAACGTATGTATGCAGAATATATCAACCTGAACAAAAAGATCTCTATCATTTTTTTAAATAACCACATAAAATTTTAAAACATTAGTAGAAGTAGATTAATAAAAAAACAAGAATATCAAAATAATAATTTTGAATATGGTAATATGATATTAAATTAGATATAATATGTAAACATTTTTTAAAAACATGAAGAAAAACATTTTTGGAGTCATTTCTGAAGGAAAAGTTCCTTTATCTTTGAAATTTGCTTCTTAAAACAATTGTTAAGAACAAGATAAAAGACAGCTAAAAAACTTTCAGGTATATAATTAAGTAACAATATTACATATTCATACTGTGAATTTGCAGAACTTCTTGGTGATATCCTGAAGCAGAAACCCTCTGAGACAGATGGGGTAGAATCTGTGATTGTTGTGGATGGTGTACCTCAAGTAGATCCTGACAAGTTAGAGAAGTTACAATCTGTTATCAACAAGGTATTGGGGAAATTTGGCACAATAGTTAATCAATATTATCCAAAAAATGAAAATGACGTTACTAAAGGGTAAGTTTAAATAAAAAAAATAAAACAAATATTATTTGTAAAATATTTTTTTAAGTATTTTGTTTCTTCTTGACAAAATATTTTATAGTATTCTATAGAATATTTTACTTTTTTATTTTCTCTTCCATAAAGGAAAAACAATTATATATAATTATATAAAATTACATATGATTTTATATGTCAATAATATATGAACAAATATTCTCCATAGGTATATTTTCTTGGAGTATAACAATCCCTTGAATGCACTCGCAGCGGCTAAGTCCACTAACAATTACAAGATTGACAAGTATCATACCTTCAAGGTCAATTTATTTACCGACTTTAAGAAATTTGAGGATATCCCCGAGAATTGGGAGCCACCAAAACCACAGCCCTTCAAGGCTGCCAGTGACTTGCATTATCATCTGCTAGAACCGGATGCTTACGATCAATTCTGTGTTCTCTGCGGTAATGGAGCGGGTGTATCTGTACAGATCTGGCAGAACTCTGCGCCTGAGCCCACTTTACTAGAAGAACGTAATGTAAGTAGTGTTTTGTCTTTGAGATCAAATTTTTTTATGAATAAGATAAGGTGTGTAAATTTGCAACAGGCTAGATTTAATTTTTTATCTTTTATTTCCAGCGTTGGACTGAGACGTATGTGAAATGGTCGCCGCTTGGTACTTACCTTTCTACATTCCACAAATTAGGAGTTGCTCTTTGGGGTGGACCGCAGTTTACTCAGCAAGCTAGATTCAGCCAACGAGGCGTTGAGTGCATAGACTTTTCACCTTGCGAACGTTATCTCGTCACTTACACTCCGCGCACTGATTTGAGTTCTGATCAGAAGCGCTTGGTGATCTGGGACATCCTCTCAGGCCAGGAAAAACGATCCTTTTTCCCTGACGGATCTTCCGTTTGGCCAATCTTCCGTTGGTCGCACGACGACAAATATCTGGCACGCATGGGAGAAGATATTCTTAGCGTTTACGAGACCCCGGTGAATATTTTTCTGTAATTTTATGTTTAAACAGCCTTCTAAATATGTTTCACACTAGATATTCTCATAAATTATACATGTACATTGTTTAATCTGTATTAACATTACTCTATATTTA